TTAATCCAAAATAAATTACCAACTAAATTTGAGCTGTTTAAGAGGGGGGTCCTGAATAGCTACAACATGACTACATGCTCCCTATGTAAAGAGGAAGTTGAGACCTCCAGCCACTTGTTCTTACATTGTCGAGTTGCATATTCCCTATGGGGCATGTGCTTGAAGTGGTGGGGAATGCAATCAGTTAGACCAGGAACTTGCTGGGAAGCTTTCTCTCAACATCTCGGACTAATTGAAGACAGGAAAGTTTCAAAAGGATGGGAGACTATTTGGTTTGCATATGTTTGGTCTTTATGGTTAACTAGAAATAGTTGTGTATTCAAAGGGAAGGAACCAGATGCTCAAAGGGTGTTTGATTGCATCCAAATCAGATCATGGGAATGGTTGAAAGCAAAGAGCAAGAATTGGTCGTGCTCATTGACAGATTGGCTATTAGCACCAAAAAATTGTCTAAAAGAGAAAAGGACGTGATTGCATAAGAATAGGAGTTTTGGGTTTAAATGAACATCTTCTGAAATTTGAGGGATTAAATTGCAAGAAGGAAGGCGCATCTTGTGGACCTAAATGAAAGAATCTTGAGTTTTGGGATCTAAATGCTCATCATACAAAATATGGAGGACCAGATGTGCTATTTTACCGTTGAAGAAGTTGCAAAAGAGGACAGAAACCCGACACGGGTGTGGTGTCGACACATAAAGTTGGTGTCGACACCGCACGGCAAGCATCCACAATCAGAGTTTCTGTTTCTTACTGTGTCACGAGAGTTTCTTATAAATTTATGCCTTTCAAGTTAAAATGTTTATGGGTTTGGGGTACCCCTTGTACTCCGTTTTTTTAATAAATATTATTTTTTGTTGTTCAAAAAAAAAAAAAACATCAGCCTACAAAACACACCGAATTTAATCTTTATTTCATTACGGCCTAGGTGGCTTCTCGCTTGGTTTCTTTGCAGTATGCGACAAATAAAATTTTGCTAGAAATAATCGGCGAGATTTACTAGTAGCCACCAGTAATTCGGTAGTAGCAGTATTAATATTAGAACAACATTTATTAACCTATTACTATTGGTTTAAGTGAAAAAATCTTAATTTCTCTTAAATAAAATCTTTTGTTTGAGTTTTATAAATAAGCAAAGGAGTATTAAGAGAGTTTTTTTCTAATAAAATCTAATGTGATTTGATTTCGGATTAATTAAAATTCAATATGATTATCCGATAGTAAAGATTAGTAAAAAAAAACAACATTTATTAAGAAAAAAAAAAAAGAAAAACGAAAGAAATTAAACCTGGATTTGCTGCTTTTGCGTTTCATCGGTGTAGGGTTCCTTGTTTTAGACGATTCTTGTCCGTTGACCCGTCGGGAAAAATTTTCAACCGTAGAATCATGGAAAAGCATTGAGCCTTTTTTATGCATTTTAATTGATTTTGCTTCTACGCGTTTTACGATTTAACCCTCTGCACTGGTTTTTTACCGTTTTATTTCAGGAAAGGTTAAATGCTAAATTTGGTCCCTCAACTTTAGTGAGTTATACATTTTTGGTCCCTCAACAATTTTTTGTACTTTTTTTATCTCTCAATTATACGAAATGCACTCCGTTAGTCTTTCTGTTAATTTGGGCCGTTAACTCGACCACATGGCATTTTTTTTTTTATGACATGGCAAGAACAACTTAAAAGGGTACTGATCTGGACTTTTTTGATGACATGTCATCTTCCTCTCTCATCTTCACTCTCTGCAAAATCAATCTTCACTCCATCTGCAGAATCAATCTTAACCCATTTCTTCTTCTTCTCTAAATGCTCTCTCATCTCCACTCCATCTACAAAACCAATCTTAACCCATTTCTTCTTCTTCTCTTTTTTCAGGAGAACTTGAGAAACTTGGAATTCTCTGTCATTGAACCCAGCTACTGGATTTTATTAAAGCCTCAAACTTAATAGATCTTATCAAATCAAATTAACCCTTCAATAAACAATATCAATCAAATTCCAACAAAAATACAATCAAACTCTAATCAAATTCCAATAAAAATACAATCAAATTGTAAATTAACTCCCAAATTTATTAACAACTGGGAATGAAAATCGAAAGAAGAATGAAAGAACATGAATCCAGTGTCAAAACAGCAAGGCTGGGTTCATCGGAACCCAGCCGATCTGGGTCTCGACGAACCCAACAAGGTTGGGTCTCGTCAAACCCAACAAGACTGGGTTTCAACCGAACCCAGCAACTGGGTTCGACGGAACCCAACAAGGCTGGGTTCATCGGAACCCAAGCTGGGTTCGACGAGACCCAGCAGGGTTCGTCAGAACCCAGCAAGGAACCCAACCTTGCTGGGTTTGGGGAAACCTCGCCAGGCTAGGTACGACAAGACCCAACCTTGCTGGGTTCTGTCGAACCCAGCAAATCTGGGTTTCATCGAACCCAGCCATTGAAATCCAGCCTGGTGGAGACCCAAGGTAGGAAAGAAGGAAAGAGAAAGAAAGAAGGGGAAGAAGAGGGATTGGGAGGGTGAGGGTAATGAGGTAATTTTATTTGTTTTTAATTAAAATATAAATATTAATCTACGTGGTAT